AGTAAGTTGTGTTAACGGACCAGAAATCTTTGAATATCCCTCCACAAACCTTCGATAATATCCTGCTAGTCCAAGAAAACTCCGCACTTCGGTGACACTAGTCAGCCTTTCCCACTTCACAACTGCTTCCACTTTACTAGGATCAACTGATATGCCGTCCTTCGAGACAATATGACCCAGAAAACTAATCTGATTCAGCCAAAACTCACACTTATCAAACTTGGCATATAACTTATTTTCTCGCAAAATCTGCAATACAATGGCCAGATGCTCTTGTGGCTCTCTTCATCAGGAGAAAAGATAAGAATGTCATCAATGAAGACAATGACAAACTTATCTAAGTACAGCTGAAAGATCCTATTCATAAGATCCATAAAAGCTGCAGGGGCATTGGTTAAACCAAACGGCATTACTAGGAACTCGTAGTGCCCATATCTGCTCCTAAAAGCAGTCTTCATCACATCCTCGGGTTTAACCTTTAATTGATAATAGCCCGATCTAAGATCAATTTTGGAAAAGACACAAGCCCCTTGTAACTGATCAAACAAATCATCAATCCTTGGCAAAGGATATTTATTCTTGACGGTGACTTGATTCAACCGTCTATAGTCAATACACAATCTAAGTGAGCCATCTTTCTTTTTCACAAAAAGAACCGGAGCACCCCAGGGAGAAGTACTGAGCCTAATGAACCCCTTGTCAAGAAGCTCTTGCAACTGCTTTTTCAATTCAATTAATTCTGCTGGGGCCATTCTATAAGGTTGCTGGGATATTGGTGCAGTACCAGGCACAAGATCTATAGTAAACTCAATCTCCCTATTTGGAGGCAGACCAGGCAACTCCTTAGGGAAAACATCAGGAAAGTCTTCCACTACCCAAATTCCTTCTACAGACACCGGCTTGTCTTTAAATTCAAAAAAATATGCCAAATATCCATAACACTCATGCTGCAACATCTTATCAGCTTGTATGCAAGAAACAAGTAATGGAAATGATCCAACTTTTTCTCCTTCAAACCGAATCACAGGCTGGTTAGGAGCGGAGAAAGTAACCACCTTCTCATAACAATCAACCATAGCATAATGGGTAGACAACCAATCCATGCCAAGTATGACATCAAATTCCACTATACCTAACAAAATCAGATCGGCAAACAAAACTCTACCCTCTACCATAACTCTACAAGATCTATAAATGGTTTTTGATACTAAAACCTCCTTAGAAGGAGTATTCACCACAAGCACACAATCAAGGGTCTCAGGCTCCACATGCAAAAATGGCTCATACTTAGGTGACACAAATGAGTGGGTAGATCCAGAGTCAATCAACACATGGGCATTCCCAGAAGAGATAGGTATTTTACCTTTTATAACTGTAGGAGTGTTTTGAGCTTGTTGTTCCGTGATGGCAAAAACCCTTCCTTGAACCCTGGGCTTCTTATTATCTTGATCCTTTGGCTGCTGACTTGCTCCCTTGAGAACCGGGCAATCCTTGATCAAGTGGTCAGTCTTCCCACACTTGAAACATGCCCCAATCTGCCAATAACATTCTTTTCCCCCATGGTTCTTACCGCACCTCTTACAAAGATCAAAACTTGGTCGGTTGCTTTCGGGGATCTTCCTTTTTCCCCTTTGTTCAGGCTTTTTGTTGAAAGGCTGGGTGTTGATAGCCTTTCCCTTGCCTTTTGAGTCATGAGTCTCCATTCTTTGCTCCTCCATATCTTGCTCAATTATTTGAGCCGTGGCCAAGACCTCATCATAAGTCTTTAGCATTTGAGGAACCACCCTGTTCCTAATGGAAGCTTTCAACCCTCTTTGAAACTTCCTTACCTTTCTAACTTCATCATTGACAAGGTGAGGAGCAAACTTCATAAGAGAACTGAATTTAGCTTGATACTCATCAACTGTCATGTCATCTTGTTTCAAATTCATGAACTCCAGTTCCTTTCTTTCCAACACAGCTGCAGAAAAATATTTTCGATAAAAGGCCTGAACAAACTTGTCCCATGTAACCTCCTCT